CTCCATCCTCCATGACATGCTGCATACCTCCCATTGCTCAAGTTCGGGCCATGCCTGGGATGTCTTCCCAGTGTACAGTGTAGAAAATGGATGGGGAGAAGGGCGCAGCAGAGCCACCTGATAATTGTCACCTGAGCCTGGTGGCTGAAGTCAGCATCCACAGGGAGAAGTCACATGAACAGGAGGATGTCATGAGCCTCTAACTCCTGGAGATTCCTCCCAGGGAAACATTTGACAGCTTGAAGTTCCACAAGAGACCTAACAGCTGGGCAAGGAGGGCAGGAGAGTGGCCCCACCAAGAAAAGCCTCATCCTGGGACCCAGCAGGAAGTCACTGCAAGCAAAGAGAATGGAACGGAAAATGAAGTTAGCTGATGGGCCGTGTGCCGATGATTCACCATTCTGACACATGCACCATAGCCACATACACATAGAAAAGGGGGGGACCTCCTGGGAGCACTGTGCTTCTTGAAACTTCTCTTGCTGTCTCAAATGGCTACCAGCACTTTTGTTTTAACCCATAATGAATTATATCAAGTAAGTGAAGAAGCACAGCAAACCAGAACCTGACATTCAGAGTCACCTGGATACCTGACACCCAGAGTGCAGAAGCTCTGGGGACAGTCCAGTGGCTGCAGCTGATGGTTTCTTGTGGTTGTGCAAGAGTGTGTCTCTGACTGTGTCAACAACAGCACAGAGACCAGAACATGGGAAGGGCTACACCCAACATAGAGGTCCACACACTGGCTCGCTGGGTAGCTCCCAGCACATCTAGTTGAGGGACTGAGAGAGTCTAAATGCTGATGTGCAAGACAGGCTCTCTTCCTCTCCTTGTCTAAAATGCCTCTCTCCCTGCCTGTCTTCTCTGCCAACGCCACATGTGTCTGGGGACAGTTGGCTTTGCAGTCTCAAGAGACCCCGGTGTGCCTTTAGGGAGCACTTTTTGACTATGAAGTAGCCCAGTGTCCCTGTCAACAGAACAAGGGACAACATCTAGTCCGTGTAAGTACCTCAACACCCAACCCAGGCTAGATAAGGGAGGTGTGCAGATAGAAAGACTGAGCAAGTGACTGAGTGACCAAGGGAGAGCCAGTGGTTAAGTGAGCAGTAATTGAGTAAGTAAGTGCGTGAGTGGGAGTGAACAAGTGAGTGAATGGGTGAGTGAAGGAGTGAGTGGCCAAGGGAGAGTGAGTTGATGAGTGAGTTAGTGAATGAATATGTGACCAAGTGTGTGAGAGTGAGTGAGTGAGTGAGTGAGTGAGTGAGTGAGTGAGTGAGTAAGTAAATGAATGAAGGGGTGAATGAATGAATGAATGAATGAATGAATGAATGAATGAGTGAGTGAGTGAGTTAATGGTTAAATTAATGAGTTTGTATATGAATGAGCAAGCAAGTGTGGGACTGAGTGAGGCAATGAGTGAATGAATGAGTGAATAGTGGGTGATCTGAGTGATTGAGTGATAGTGGGTGAGTGAACGAGCCCCTCATGTGCTGGTCCAGCCTGAACTGTGTTCTTGTCTAGGCTCTTGTCTTTCCTAGCTGTGGGGCCAGAAGGAGTCTCCAGGCTTTCCTGGTTCTGTTCCCCTACATACGGCCAGGGCTGAGCAGGTACCACTAGACATCTGCTGCGGCACATCCTTCGAGGGTGACAGAGCACCTATAAGAGATGCCCATTGACACCCAAGTCCACCAACCCCAGGGGAGGCAATGCGACCTGAAATTTTCAGAGTGAGTGGAAAATATGCTGCATGAGGAGCAGGATGGCTCATGGGAAAAAAAGCCATTGAGTCAGGAGCAAACTTCCTCTGTGCTCTTGGCTGGGTCTCCAACATCTATGACCTCAGCATTTCCTTTCTGCTGTGGGCCTCGGTGTCCTGACCTGTGAGTGGACTATGACCAACCCCAAATGTATCCTGTGATAGTCACAGTGATGTCCCCTCCGTCTGCTGCTTTCACCAGCCTCTCATGGTTGAGGCTGAAAGTGTCACATGCCTCTGCTTCCCTACCCAGCCCTTCCTGCCTGTCCTCAGCCTGCAGAGAAACACACTTAGGAGGTGATATGCCCCCAACAAGATTCCTCCAGGCTTGGAACACCCCAAGTACAATGCAGTCCTGGGGTAAGAAAGCCAGACCTCAGTGCCCACAGGAGCTGTGCCAGGAGAAGCTAGGGTAAAGGCCAGAATGGGCCCAGGACCCAGTACTCTCCACTGGATGTGAGCTGAGGCCAACGTTTTCCCCAACCTGGGCGTCCATCCCCTTACCAGTAATGCAGAGAGGGATTCTATGTCTCAGTCCACTGATTGCAGGGTTCCCACATATGGGCAGAAAAGGACTCCATGTCTGCATTTTGGGCAGCAGGTTGGATCCCTCTATGCTGTGGAGTCAGGCTGAGGCAGTGCAGACCACAGCTGAGGGGCCCAGTCTGCCAGAGCAGCTCACCAAAACCCTCTAAACCAGTGGTTCTCAACCTTATAATGCCACAACCCTTTAACACAGTTCTTCATGTTATGGTGACACCCAACCGTAAATCATCTCATAGCTACTTCATAACTATAATTTTTCTACTGTTATGAATCATAATGTAAGTACCTGATATGTGACTCCCCCCCAAGGTGTCATGACCCACAGGTTGAGAACCACTGCTCTAAACAAACCTCGGTCCCTCTCAATGCACAGCTCTGAGGGGACAGGACAGTCTCAGGACAGACAGGACAGACCCAGCGTCTCTTCCCCGGCCCCAGGCAGAGGAGGGCATGGACTGCCCTTGTTTCACAAGGGTCCTTCAGATCACAGGACAGCTACCCTCCAGAGGAGGAGGAAAAGGATTCTTTGTGTATGTGTTACGTCACCAGGAACTTGGAGTGAGCAGTATCTTCCAGATCCATATCCACCCAGAATCCTGGGAGGAAAGCCTGTTTGGGAATAAAGTATTTGCATGGAAGAGTTAAAGACATTGAAACAAAGCCATCTTGGGCCTAGGGAGCATCCGGATCCAATGATTGATAAGGTAAGGGAAATCACAGGAGTCCAGGCTCAGAGACGTAGGCAACCCATGGGAAGCCACACACAGAAGCTGGGGTAGGCCCCAATGGCAGAGCATTTATCTGCTGTGCTTAACCCCCAGGCTTGATCCCCAGCACCACAAAAGCAGGCAGCTAACTCAGAGGCAGCCATCAGAAAGTACAACTGTCAAGGTGCCACCCAACTGAGTGACTAACGACGGCTCAAGAAATGTCACCTACAATGTTCCTTCCTGCGGGGTGAGTTGGGGGCGTTCTGGAGAGTAGGTACCGCCTTCAGTACCAAGTGCAGAAGAATCGCTTTAAAAATACAAAAATAACACTTTTATGGTTATTAAGGTAATAAGCATTGACTGCAGAAAACATCAAATAAAGAACAGAGATGATGCCTAAAGGACTGAGGACGTGAAGGAAAACTGCTGACGAGCTTGTCCACTGGAGCCATTAACGCGCTGGTAAACAGGATGTTAGGATGCGAGTTATTCTCGCTCCGAGCTGGCGGCCTAGTGCCGAGAAGTTTCACGGAATGGCCCCATTTGGACTCGCAGCCTAGGGTTTCCATTCCTGTGCAATAATGTGCTCTGCAGGCATCTTTCCATGCCAGTAAAGGCAATCCCCCTGCCCCGCGGCTGCCAGAGTGCATCCTGCAGAAGAGCTGCCCTCCATCAGGACACCTGCTGCATGGGACAGGGCACCGTTTCAGCTTTGCACCAGACTGCAGCTAGGGAAGAGGTTATCTGTGATATATATAACATGTGCCCTAAATCTAACATGCTCCTGCCAGATGAATGGTAGGGATCTGGGCCCTGAGAGCCAAACACTGCATGGGAAGATACAAGAGAAGGCTGGAGACACCCAGGCACGGACGGGGGGATGGCCCAATTAGAGAACACTTGCCTGTCATCCCCAGCACTGGGGATAGCTGCACAAAACCTGCATGAGATTGAGTCCATAAATAGTCAACCCCTGACAGGACAGGGCTCATGAGACCCCACTTCTAGCTGAAGAACTATTGGTGGTCAGAGGCTTCTGGGGAAGGAGGAGTCAGTTCTTCAGTAGTGTAGCCACGGCTAAGTTGGACATGCTCCAGCAAATAACTGCACTTCCATGCTCAATATGTGCTGCCCTAATTAAAAATCAGGAGTCTCTCTTTTTTTTAAAAAAAAAAAAAAAAAAAAGGACATAAAAAGGAGGTAGAAGTGAGAGGGGATAAGAAAAGGTAATGAAAGGTGAACACAACCAAATATATCATACATGTGTATGAAATTGTCAATATTTTTAACATTTTTTTTAAAGAATGGGGTTGTATAAAGCTCATCCATCCACCTGATGGCTCTCAGTCCATTATTTCCTGGAAGAGAGTCACCGCCCTGAAAGCTGAGCATCTTAAAGTCGCCTGCAGTGCAGGGTCATTGCGTGCCTTCTAGGAAGACCGCATCAACGTCCCCCAGAACCCCAACCCAGGGCTGTCTGAACTTCCCAGTCCCTGTACTCCATCCAGCCTAAGCAGCCTGAAGCAGACCCCATATGGGGTCTGATGCAGAGGTGAAGGAAAATATGTACCACTGGCTGTCCTCACTCCCTTCCGGGGGACTGAATGCCCGGGTCCCAATCTTTTACTCTTAGGTTCAATTATCTGACATCACTTAGAGAACTTGCAGTGATGTCACAAGAGAAGGGTGAACAGGAAGAAAAGTGCCCCAGTTTGGACCACATGGGGTCCACATTCTCAGAGGGAAGTGGGCCGT